GTTATTTCGGTTAAAGTCACATAAATAGAAAATTAAAATTAAATTAAAATATAAAAATAAATTCAAAATAAAAGCAAAAAAACCATGACGTTTCGATCGCAACACAAGCGGTCTTCATCAGGTGACTTTACCGAGAGAACCAAGAATATATAATATAAAAATAGTACATACTATACGTAAATTTTCACTTCATTTGACCTTGGGTCGCTCTGAGGTTTAAACTTTAATAACAGAATTGGTCATTGAAATGCGGCAATCCACATTGTACGGAGTGTGACCGGGAGCTGTCCAGTGTTCTATTATTAGCGTGGCCTCTTGTCATGACTTCAGAAGTAGTTCTTAGTTCTCATCCTCAAGGGCCATTCTGACCACGACTTTATACGCCGCTGACGCAAGGTGTTCTAGAGAGACATTTCTTCACCTCGTGACAGTAAATCCGATATCACAATCTGCTCCGCTGCAGCTGTAATTTAATATAAGTGCTCCGTCTTCTCCTGCGCCGTCTCCTGCAGCTGCTGTTCCTTCTGAGCCGCCATTTATGTCTAATGTCGTTCATCTTTTGTCATCCATTCGCGGCTTCCCGCTCTTCACAAGTCGCCTTTCATACATTTCCTATTGCCGTGGTGAAAGTAATGCCTTGGAAATTGTTTTAAAGTGCACTGCAATTCAGATTTATGTCATGCTGACGCTACTTGATTCTAAGTTTAAACGTAGCTGGATGGCACGATGTGTACTTGGATGAAAAGTCAAAGCTAAGGTGTTAACCCCTTCTTGCCATATATATAAACTGATCACATTCATCATTAACAGTGCCTGATAACAGATTCATATATCAGAATCGGTATATTTGTGTATACTGGAGGAATCTGATGAGTGATAAATCTCCTTTTCACAAATGTCCAGTAGGAGCGTGTCAGAACGTTACAACAACAAAGAGATAATAATTGCCTAATGGTTAGAGCGATAGGAAGTGAAACTCCGCGGAAGGAGCAATGCCCCGCAATGTCAGCCTATCACCTATATATTTCCTGTTATAAGGCAGTGTTTACGATGAATGTGGGGAAAAATATATATATTTATTTAACAGTTCTAAATATCACCACGGCATCTGCTATGATGTGTCCAGAGTGATGTTCGCATGTACACGTACGGCCAGTTTGTCAATCCACCAGCAGCCGGTTAAAGGGCTTCCTTGTGCAGCACAATGTAATGCCCGTTATTTGACCATACTTCATCGTGCTGGTCAATGCGGGCTTGTGACGTTTGGGGGGTGGGGGGGGTGTAGAACAACAGGGATTTGTTTTTTGGTTGCACTGCCCACATCACCTGCCACACTTGTTCTGTTGTCATTTGTGGGCACACCCATCCAAGCAATATCCACGCTGGACCCTGCTTATGACAATGTTATTTTATTTTAGAGAGACTATGTGTTTGTTGTCTCTTGCTGTGATCTGGGGCTGTCCTTGCTGTTGTTTTGCTGCCTTGCTCAAGCTTTCGAATTGGTTTACTTATGAAATTTGAACTTATATATTTAATCGATTTTACGTATTTATTTTAGTGATTTGCTTATCTTACCTATACAGTGCACCCTTTTGATTGTTTTGCGTAGATTTTTGTTGTAACTTTCTGACCCGGCCCTACTGGACATCTGTGAAAAAGAGCCTCATAGGTCATTTGCTTTCTCCAGGATATATAAAGATTCTGAATCTGATTCTCCCCAGGCCTGATGGGATCTTGTGCATTCTGAGTGATTTGATCAAATTAAGAAAAGCTTCCACACTCGCGTCCTGTTCAGCAATGGTGGAACATCACTCGTCAGCCGAAATTAATGGGTTCCCCTGGGGAACAACACAAATACCCTGCACCAACGCTGTTGTGGTGAGAGCCGTTCATTAAGGGGGAACAGCCTGATCTTCTGTTGCTGTACATACAGCTTGTGGGAAACTGAAGTTGCATAGGCCCGAGAAATGCAATTTAAAGATGACGCAGAGCGTGTTGTGGTAAAGGCCGAGTGTAGTGGCATCCACGGTGTTGTAGTTTTATGTGTGCAGCACTTGCACGTGGTATTTCTGTTGATTGCTATTGAATTGTTTGAAGAGAACTTCGGTATAGGGGATTGTTTTTGTCCTTTCTTCGGTGTTATAACAAGGATGTAGAAAATCAAAAGCGAATTTCAATGAGTGACATTCACAATACACGGTGCTGAGGTAAAAAGGAAATTTTATGGAAAACTTTCCAATGGGGACCTTTTGTACTTGTTCATTTTTCAAAAACTACTTTTTGAATCTCACGCAATTCAATAATTATTTGAACTCATGGGAAATGCATTGACTTAATTGCTGAGAAAGTCATGCCAGTATTGCATTGGCAATTCTCATGGGATATTTAGCAGGTTTTTTTACCGGTTGTGATTGGGCACATTTGTTAATATACAATAATGGTTTGAAAGTATATTTGGCTGCTGTAAATTTCCACGGAACAAGCCACTTTGTAGAGATTTAATTTGTGGCCAGTTTGCTTCAGAAAAAAGAGCCATATAGCTCAGTGGGCCTTACCTGGTAAAATAAGAAGCTTCGTTTTTATTTTAGAAGAAATTTGAAGTGTAAGGGCGAAAATACTCTTACGCTTAGATTATTTTAAGTTAAGTACACCTTGCCTGGTGTGTGAGTGTGCCAAGCACAGTGCTTCATTTGTTTTGGGTTAAACCGAAGCTATGGGCAGGAGGATATTACACCATCACTCCTGTCAGATGTGACCTTAAAACCAATAAGTTCTGCCCCAACCATAGCTTAAAAATATGAGCCCTACGTTACAGGATATCTGAAATGCGTCACTAAATGGGTGCAGTGATTGCTTGATTCACCCTATATTATTGCTCATTCGGCTGGTATGGTCGTGTTGAATGTTAAGGAGTTTTGTTTTAATCCATTAATTCTGTCAATGACGATGGCTGTTTTGATTGTGAAATTTTGGTGAGGTTCAGATACCACTTGCCTCTGCTTATGAAACGTGGTTGTCTGGGAGCGCATCACCTTCGTGCTAACCGCTGGACTTTATTGGCTTAATAGAGCTTAATTTCCAAAGTCCAGAGACAAAGCCAGCAAACACAGCACACCTCACCAGGTACTTGTTTCAGTCAGCCGAGGGGAGACCCATTGGAGGATTTAGAAACCACTTGCTACTGATTTAAGCTGTAGCCACTGCACCATATACACACTGTACATAGACAAAGATCCCCCATATAGCCTATAGCAGACTGTTTAGGGCAAGTGCTGTTAGCAAGTAGCACCTATGAAGGCCGGCATAGTACACGAAGAGGATGGGTGGCCAGCACCACGCCACACCGCCTTTGTCTCCCCAGTGGCGATGTTTACACACTGCACCAGGTACTCATTGGAGGCTGAGGCGACCTAGGGGAGGCCCAGGACCTATTCAGATAATCGTACTTGGTGTTGGCCGTGAGCGGGAAAACGACCTCAGGTCACTGGGTTCATAGTGCGGCGCGCTAACCACTCCACCACCGCTCCCCACGAAAATCCATATTTACACACTGTACACAAACATCCATATATACAGCACACATGTAGTGAGCTGTGCGGTTCAGAAAAAAATACGTTTGTCTTTGTAGAAGAGCTTATCCACAAAACACTTTTGTGTGAATGTCTGCTGGGGATTTGTGGAGCCAGGCATTGATTGAAATAAAGCGTAGACTCAGGGCAAGCGTGCATATATGTTAAAATATATTGTTAAGAATTTCACTCGGAGCAATGGGGAGGGGCGGTGCCATTTTTCCCTGTACAATTAAATAAGTTAGCCATTGCAAGTCACTTTAAAAAAAAACTACTTTCAAGGCTCGACCTTTGTGTCAACTTACTGTCGCATTATAATGCAGCCGTCTGGCTGAAAGTACAGTTGATGGGACAACAGATGATTTAAAAATATCCCTGCATGTGAGCTTGCGGCTGGTACAATCTTTTATATACTGCCTCTAAAAGGCTCGGGTATGACATTGACCATAAGAATCCTTTTACGTTTAAGTAATGGCCTGGTGGGCACAAGCTAACTCAGCCCCTGGCCTGCTAGCGGGCATTAGGCTGCCAGTAAGGGGGTGTTGATTGCTTCTCTGTGTAATCCCAATTAAGTGATTTGGGGGTAATCTTCAAATTTGCCAAGTTTGTACCAGTGCGCACACATTGGCCAACTAGTTTCTAACGACGTCGGGATTTTTAACGTCCTCTGTGACCCAGATGGTGAGAATTTCATGGGTGATGCACACCGCGGTAGTAGTCACCAGGGAAACCTGCTGGATTCGAACTACGAACATCCGCAACGATTGACGAAATACGCTTACCCCTGGGCCGTGCCAGCGCCCCCAATATGCAGTTAAGATTAATTGCTCTAAATTGTACTTATTCTGGCTTTTTTGGTGACTTGCCTTTTCTTTTGTCATCTTTTCTTGTTCGCTGACAGTGAATATATGTGTAACACCTTTGTGCTTAACATTGGCTCAGAACATAATTAATTTCAGCAGGTTATTGTCGTGGGCTATGGCGCTTCTTCGGATCTCTGAAGAGAGTTGTTGTCTGGTACGTTAGCTAGCGCGCTGCGCTAAGAACCTAGGTGAACTGACTACGATTGTCAGCCACGACCAACATCATCGGCCAGTGATATCAGAACCGGGTACCTCCGCATCCCCCATTCACCAACACACACCGACCAGCATGGTGAAGTATGGCCAACAAATCCCAGTGAAGTGACATGGTGTGGTGGGGGAGACCATCAATTGGTGGATTGAAAGAGCGGCTGCAAATACGTTAAATGTTTGTTTTACCTAATTGAGTGCACTGTACACGGTCTATTAATGACGATAGCGGTCGTGCGTTTCTCATTTGTACTCGTACGCTACCGGCAACGCGATCGCTTAATCATTTACGCGGCATTTAATATTCATGCGCTTCCCCCCCCCGCCCGCCCGCCCGCCCGCCCCTCGTCCACCCCAGCAGCGTCGCCACCGTCGGCCAACGGCCTGAACCGCTCTCCCGCTGCGCCTCCTCTTCCGTCGAGCGGCCACCCGTCGTCTCTCGAGCCCCTGGGCCGCAGCCGCAGGGGGGGCTCGGGGGGGGGCGCCGGGGGGGCGGCCGTCACAGCCGCGGCCGCACCGGCCTCCTCGGCGGGGGCCATGTCGTCGTCGCCGCACGTGGACCCGGACGTGAAGCCCGGCGAGTTCGTGCTGCGCTCCCTCATCGCCGAGTTCACGGTGCACGCCGAGCTTAAGCTGCACTCGGTGCTAGTGGAGTCGCTGGTGAGGGGGGCGGGGGGCGGGGGGCGGGTGGGGTGGGTGGGGGGGGGCAGGGGGAGGGTGGCCGCCACGCGTCAAGTCACAAACGTGCCCGCGGAACTGCCCGTCGCATCCTGTGAAATCCGCACAGCTTTTGGCTGGCCACTTTTTTTTTTGTGCAGGTCTCATTAATTTCACACAAAGTGCTTGCCACAAGTGAACCACAATACCTTCCTGATCACGTGAAGGAGCACAAACCATCGTGCGAGCTCGGTCATCCCCGTAGCAGTTTTTGGCTGGCCATCAAACAAAGACGGTCACCGCATCGCTCGCTTTCAAATGCGCTTCTGCGGCCGTCTAGAGTGCTCTGCCTTCCAATATTACGGAAGCCACTGGAGCTACACACTTTTAAAGAATCTAGAATGAAAACCCATTTCTATCGAACTTGTTTTTGTGTTTAGTTAGTTCTCCTTCCCCCATACCTCCAATTAGCACGGTTGGCTACGTATGGTGCATAGCTCCAGTGGCTTCCTGATATCGTGAAGCCACTCTGAATATCGGTAAGCCACACACACGCCCCAACTGTATATTTAGCATCCTGCTTTTACGCAGTTCTTTTCTAGAGTGTTTTGCATGTATATGGAGAAAATATAATCTGAAATACCCACAGACGTGTCAGGATTCTGCCTTCCCTGCTGACATCTTTTAGCCACTGTGTAGCTCAGTAATTTGGGAATCTTTCAGCACATGGTGATCTCTGAATCATCCACCAACCCTACCTCAGAAGTGCTGAATTACAGATTTAAACTACAAGCCCACAGAGATTATCCTATGGATAGTCTGGCCCCTGTCATAAGAATGTGGAAATGTGTAAGCTGGTTTGAGGAACCCAACGAATATAAGTACACCGTCTAACACTCCAATTATCCTGATTTATATGATGCATTATTAATATATGTCACAAACTAAAAGGACATCAATGTATCCTCCAACTGCAAACACAATTGTAATCTTAACCGTATCCATAATTCTCTTACATAGCACTCACCGTCGATCGGCCCATTGTGACTCTTATAAGCCACCCTTATCCTTGCTTTGGATATAGAATGTGGGCATGTAAAACCTTGCGGGTATGCTCACGTTATTTTGAATGAGAAAGCTTGTTGCAAAAACACAAAGCACCGTCAAATTGAGACCAAGCTGGCATTGCTTCCGCAAAGTAGAAAATCATTTGCATTTTTCAAGAGGGCTCGCTGTGTGTGCGCGCGCATGTTGTGTGCATGCCCTTCATGGTGCGATGTGATTTTTTGAATGAATGCTGCACATGCCGATATTATTAGTCGTAGTAGTACGGTTAATGCTCTCATTCGCATGGCAGAGTTAAGGCATTATAATGGCTTAGATGTCATTTACTTTCTCAGCCAAGTTTCTTCTTTTTTTTCTCGTCATAACATTCTTTGCATTGTGCACTCACGCCAGGCTAATCGCGCACGTCAAAATGGAACGCAGCTAGCTCAGTTGGCACCAACGCATTCCATGCTGCTATCTCGTACCGAATGTATCGCCATGACCATGTAAAGACACGACCTGGCGTGTGTGGATATACTCCGTTGTTATTGCTGCAATCTTCATTATATCCTGCCTGGTGGTGTCGTGGGTAGAGCGCACAAGTAACAGAAGGCTTAAAAGTTAACATTTCAAGTGGTAACCAGTTAATCTTTCATCCATCTGGGGGTGATAAATTGTGTAACAATTTGTGGAAATTCAACAGTGGTTGTCCTATGGTGAGACAGATCCCTTCTCGAAGAAAGGTTTCTCTATAAGCGCGTTAAAAAATGGTAATGTGAGTGACATGCATTGCAGGTTTATTAAAGTGGGTGGAGTGCGCAAAATTGGTGGGTGTTTAATTACAATAAGCAATCATAGCCGATTTATAAATATTTATTTGTTTTATCATGATGCTTGTTTACCCAGGAAAGCCTCACTGAGTCTCAAGACACTTTCAGGCGAGTAGTGTCAAGTTTTCTTAGTAGAGGGTGATATTTCTGTATGTAATGCAAATAAATTTGCATTTAATAATTCAGCATTGGGATGCTTTGGCATATATATTAATTAGATGGTTTTGCTTTGGAACACAACCAGAGAACCCAGGGAAAATCCCATGCAGAACAGGAGGAGATAATACAAACTCCGCACACAGAAAGGAGGCGGAGTTGGGAATTGACCCCGAGGGTATCTTACTGTGAAGCGCGACTGCCCTGCAACTCGGCCCAGACTGGCCAGAGGGCAGCAGTCCGTAGGGCAAATGCCCTTTGGGGGCCGGTCTTTGTGGGGAAACTGGAAATGTGATCAGACTAAAACATTTGAATATATTTTTTTTTATTAAACTGTTTTACCACCTCTAAGTTGCACGCTGCATTGCTAATTTAGGCTCTTAGTAGGCAAGTCCCATATTCGGCAGCCCCAAAGAGTTTTCCTATCCGGCCTATTTGATTTTGGACCCAGCTCAAATGGGCCAATGAGATGGCACGGCAAGATCACGCTAATATGTCACATCACAAATATACCTACGTGTATACATTTTGTCGCACAGCCGATTTTTTGTTCATTAAAAAAATAATTTCCCATAATCTCGAATTTGGGCCAGTGTGTTTACAAATGTTTGGGCCGATTTTATTTGTCCCAGTCCATCACTTGTCTGCAGCACCCATGTGACGGAGCTAGACCGCATCGGCAGTTGCATCAGAAGGTAACCATGCTTCACCGGTTAATAAACAGTTATTTTTTTCAGTGTTTACCTGATAAAAAAAATATAACTAGATTTAAAGTTTTCGTGACTGCAGGGATCCATACCCTTTGGTTCTTTCAGTAAAGTCACGTAGGTATAAAATAAATTAAATGAAGTCACGACGTTTCGGGCGCCAACACAAGCGTCCGTCATCAGGTGGGACAACCACAGCAAGAAACAATTGCTGAAGTGGGCAAAAGGGCTGCCGTGATTTAATTTATTTTATTTTATACCTACGTGACTTTATTGAAAAAATAAAATCGTATTAACACAACGTAAATAATGTCCACCGTAATTGAAGACACATTTTAACATTGAGTACTGTACGGAGAACCAAATGTCAACCCATTTACGTACCCCATGTGTTGGAGGATTAGTTTCCACTGAACCTACTCTCTTCCCATTTATCTGTATACTTTATAACATGGAGCATCCCGTGTTTGCATTGGTCCCCGCATAAGCCTCTGGTGTTACGGTGTTGCCGCTAATTGCACTACATTTCAAAATTTTAAGAGTATGGCGGGGCACAGCTCAGCTTCTTCTTGTCGTCAATTTAGTGCCAAAAATACATTGTACGTAAAAAAAAAGACATTTACAATGTGTGGTGTATAACAATGTGTGGTGTATAACCCATACATAAGATGATGATTACTGGTGGTTGAAGGGTCATCTTTCACGTCGAATGCATTTAATTCATTTGACATGGTGAGAGTTAATGGATGTGGAGGACAAATTTGTACAGACTCATTAGCTAACTGCAATTATAATGGTACCTTTATTTCTGCAGTTGAGCATTATATGCACGCAAAAATATTTTCGGGAGGTGGGGGGAATTTGAGAATCAGAATCTTGATTTAAGCTGGAGGAATCGTATGAGCCTGTGAAGCCCTTTTTGTCACAGATGTCCAGGAAACCTCTGGTGCCAACACGTAGCAGCTCTCGTACCAGTGAGCCTGGTAGGACGCATCGCTAGAAGGGATGATGGCCCATGGTCAAGAATGCTGATGGAATGACAGCCAATGAAAGGGATGCATCCGAAAGGATGTTGTGCACCAAGGAGATGGTGGGTTAAACCCGGCTCATGGTGTAGAAACTCGGTAGATTGCTACGTCGCAGGACTGTGAGAGATGGCGACGGATTGGGGGGAGGCCTTCAACCAGCAGGGGACTGATTGTGGGTGATGAATGCTGATGACCAGCACACATGCTTTTTGTTATGCCCCATCACTCCATGGATTTCGTTGTTCGTCGATTTGTTTTCATCCTAATCGCTGTCATCACGGGCATGATATAACCATCGTTATCCTCAATTTGGAAAAGATACTCATGGAATACAACTCAGCATGCAAAATGGCTGCGGGTGAACTAAGTGGCCGTTATATCCATGGCTTTATAAGTGTATGTTCAGTCATCTTCATTGCCATCAGCATCATCGTCACCACCATTGTGATAGCGGTCCACCGGGGCACAGAATGCTGCATTATGGAATCGGTCAAACGTCCCAAAAATACTTTGCCAAAAAAAGACAGTCGAGACTCAGTCTAGGCTTTTCCAGATAAATAAATAGACATTGTTGTTATTATTATTATTAGCTGGAAATGTCATGTGATTGCCCTTTAGATATGTTGCTCATGGATAAATTGTACAAGATAATGTCCTGTTCAGTGTCTGTGGAATGAATCACAGAGCAATTATGTAAGTCTGCCCTTTCCTCTATCCCTCCCACTCATTCCCTCCGTCTCCCTTGCATTACACACTCGCATCATAACCATGTATCCGTGACTACGTGATGTGTGCGTATATATATACAGTGTACAGTGTCATAAAACACGTCTAGAAAACACAAATTGTTACGTGGTGTGTGACCTAATGCACACATTTTATTCACCAAAGCCGACCTCTGTGCATTGGTGTAGATATTGCCAGCAGGTAGCATCTTCCCAGAGCGGTTTCACGGAACGCATATCACGAATATTCACACTGTGGCCCGGTAAACTGTAATTCAGAAATGGCGTCACGTATCTGACCGTGCCATATCCACTCTGACCAAGTAACCGCCCACACCCATGTTAGTATTTTTGCACTGTGTAATTATCATTGCCCACCGGTCCAGCTTTCGATAATGTACTATACACTGATTAGATTATCTTAATCTTTGTTGGTAGCCCTAATGGCTACAGCAGTGAGAATTCCACATTCCTATGACGTGGATTACTCCTTCGGACCAAACGCTATTG